GTCAAATCAAAGATCAAAGCCACGGATCGTCCAAAGAAGACATCAAATCCAAAGCTGATGATCGAACCGTCCACACGGAGACCAAAGCTCTCCAAAAAGTGGCAAAGCCAAATAAAAGATCAAAGTGGATAAGCCCTCCAAAAAGTGGCAAAGCTAATGATCAAATTGTCTGCACAGAGATCAAAGCTCTCCAAACTTCGGCAAAGCCAAATCAAAGATTAAAGCCTCAGATCGTCCAAATAGGACATCAAATCCAAAGCCGACGATCAAATTGCCCGCACGGAGACCAAAGCTCTCCAAAGTCTGGCAAAGTCAAACCAAAGACCAAATCTCTTCGGATTAAAGAAGCCATTGAAAACCAAGTTGGAAAACAAATTGACCCGGAAAGAGAATCAAATAACCCATTTACAGAACAAATAAAATATAATTTGTATAAAATTCTGTGTTTATTAAAAATAACATAATTTTTTTTGTCTACGTATACAAATACTAATAATAATGTAATAGATAAATTATGTAGTGTGTTTGGTTATGGTTTTTAGGTTGTTTAGGATTAGAAGTTTGGCAAAATTTTCATTATTCTTTAGTAGTTACAAGTATAAAATATAATTTTTATAAATAAAAAAAAAAATCATTATCAAATTATTGAAATTTTTATAAATATACATTATTTTTTAAAATTTATTAATTTCTAATTCACTATTCAAATAAATATAAAAATTACTACATTATTGATATAAAATGACAGAAATATAAATTAGTATCTGTATTTATAATTCAAGTTTTTGAAAGATCAATGTTGAAAATTTGAATTTTGATTATTTTGACTCAAAGCCAATTATTTCGTGTCGGGTTGTCGTGTCGGGTCAGTTTTTGTCGGCTATAGTCTTAGGATGTCTTTTTTTTTTTAAAAAAAAACAAAATCTACATATTTTTTTAAAAAAGTTAATACTATATTACATATATTCATTATTTTTATATTTTCTACACAATTTTCTAAAATTTACATACAAAAATATTCATTCAAATTATTCTACAAAACAAACACACCTTTAGGGTCTGACCGCCAATAATATTACTACATCCGTTCTCAAATTTGTCTTTACATTTTATTTTTGTTTGTTTTACATCATTTATCCTTTTATTTTTTTTGAAATATGATGATATATTTTAATCACATTTTAAATTTTATAATTCCTAATTTTTTAATTTTAATTAAACTATTTAGTTATCGTAATTTTAATTTATACTTACTTTTTATACAATAATTATTTTTATTAATACACTTGTAAGAGTATTAATTATGTTAGGTAAGTGGTACAATTACTAAATTAGGAAATAGTGCCTTACATACAAAATTGGAAAATGATCACAAAGGGAATATTTAATTTTTATTACACTAATAATTAACTTGATATTCAAAATATTACATCATCTATTTATATCATATTATACAATTATTTCAATTTAAAATTTTATTATTGAAATCCCAGCAAAAAAAAATCCAACCTCCCAAACTTAATGTTTTATAATACAAATTATTTCAATTGAGAGGGTGTTTGAGAAACAACTTTTTAAAAAGCTTTTAGCTTATTGAACCGCTTTTAGCTGTTTGACCAGTCAAAAAATTAATTTAGGTGTTTGGTAAATTAGCTTTTTGAAAGAGCTTTTTGGACCAAAAAACTAATTTTTGAAAAGCTCATCTACCCAGCGTTTTGAAAGAGCTTTTTCATTTTAATTTTAATTATTCCGTATTTACCATTAAAACTTAATTATTTATTTTATACATATAAATATATTTTTATACCAGTATTATTAATTATTTTTAATATATTTAATTTATTAAATTATATTTTTATTTTTGTAAATTTAAAATAATTACTATTATTAATTATTACATATAAATTATTTTATTTGTAAAATATATAAATTTTTAAAATAAATCAAATAGAAAAAACAAAAGTTATTAATTTATTTATATATATTAAAACAATAATTAACATAATAAAAATATATATACAAAAGATTTATTATTTTATATTTTACACAATTTCAATAAAAATTATTATTTTTTGACAAAAATAATTTTCTCACATCTAAATAATAAAAATAAAAATAAAAATTTTATAATAATTTTATAATTTTCAATAATTAATAACAAAAATTCTCATAAATTTCAAACCAAAATGAACAAAATTAAATATTTTAAAAAATAACATATCAATGTCCTTAATAGTCATTTTATGTATAAACAGCTAATATCAAATAGTTGTTTTATCAAACACTTTAATACAAACCACTAATTGAATAAGCTAACAACTAACATCTAATTGAATGCTAAAAGCTATCAGCTAATTACCAAACGCACCTTGAGCACTGTTTCTATTATATATATTCTTTATTTAAATTTTTATATATTACAATGAATAATAAAAATGAAATTGTATAATTAAATTTCTACGACAAGAATACTACATTAAAAAAAATAACTATTTCAAATATTTTAAAGGAGTGATAGTATATTTTTTCAATTACTTCGTTTTGTTTGAAAATTTTTTATTTGATTAAATTCATTGAAAATTTTATATTGAAAGAAATAAATTTTTTATGGATAAAAATTAATATAATTTTTAAGTCATATAATTTATTTATATCTTAATAGATTTATTAATATTTATTATTACAATTAATATAAACGAATACGTACCTTTAGCGTGATGGTTCTAATTTATTTAAAGTTTATTTTTCTAATTTATTTAAAGTTCATATAAAAAGAATCAACTTGTTTTTATATCAATCCGCCTCTGTTTAAATTACAATAAAACATTGAATTTAATTCATAATAAATTCATACATTATTAATATTATTAATTTAATAATAATAATAATAATAATAATAATAATAATTCTTCCGCATAAATATATTTATTATAACAATTAATCTATTTATGAAATAGGTTATATCTTTTAGGAATTTTACAGTACAACTACAACTACAATTCTGCCGCCGTCCGACCTCTCTCCTCTTCTAAGTTCTAACCCCACCGTTCATCTTCTTTGTCTTCCCGTCATATTTACTTCTTCTTTGTCTTTTATTTACTTCTTCCTTATGTTCGTTTTCTTCAAAGTCAGGCCTTCACTGCTATTTCCACCTCCATCTCCGTGAAACACGCTTCGCCGTTGTTTTCCAACTCTGTTAAGTGGTCCCCATCATCATCGCCTTCGTGTTTCAACCTCGACGCCAGCAACAATATAATATTTCTCTTTGTCTTGATCGCCACTCGCCATCACCATAGCAGAATCCCAGTAGTTCTTCTGTGACAGACCTATATTTTTTATGTTGAAAAATTATGAAAAAAATCAAATCATGCATAAAACTTGCTAACACTACATATTATTTCCACTTTTCTTGGTCCGTTTCTTCTTCTTGTCTCCCGCGGTGGCGAAGGCTTCATCTCGGCCTTGGGCTTCTACCTTTGACGCTAGAGCTTTCTCGGCAACGGACTTCTTCTCCACCGGCTTAGTATTATTCCGGGGCCATTTGCGGTTCTTCTAGGGCAAAGGGATCGGAAATGACAAAGAAATTGGTTCTAATAAAAGTGCATACTTGAGTTTATTTTTGTATATATATATTATTTTGAGGAAATAAAACGACGCTATGGGTAGGAGAAAAATGAGAACGTACTGTTAAGCGGAAAGTGCTCGTTAATTAAGTGTGTGCAACAATCATATATGAGTTTATATAATTATGAAAAAATCAGTTTAATAAACAAAAATATTGGTTCACATTAACATCCAATCAATTTTTTTTTGAAAAAAATTCGAAATTCCTATAAATTTTTGCTTTATATTGCAATTGGGACCACAATGAGTTCAAATATAGATATATATATTTATTGTATTATAATTTTTTATATATTGCATATATTTTTAATGAATTCAAAAAATAGTGTGAATAAAGTATATATATATATGTATATATGTTATATAAAAAGGAAAGAGTCTTATGTTGTGTTTGGTTGTAGATTTTTATAGAGTTTTTACTATCTCTACAATTTTTTTTTTATAAAAACCTTTAAATCAAATATTTATTTATTTATTTATTATATTAAAATTTAATGTTAATGTCGAAAATATTATATAAATTAAAATTTTTAATATTTACAATTTAAATTAAAAGGCACGATAAAACACATTTAAGTTTGAAAATTCACTACAAAAAAAATTACAAATTACTACGGAAAAATTCCGTCACAACTGACAAAATTTCTGTCCCAACTTTTAATTACAACGGAATTTGCGACCAAGTGGAAGTTGTAGTAAATATTATTGTAGTAACCCAATGTAACAATTAAAATTTTCCGTTGCAGAGAATTGCAATAGAATTAGTGACAGTCATTTCTATCGCAATTTTTTGTTACGGAATTTTACTGCATTCGCTAATTCTGTTGCAAGTTTTTGCAATGCAAATTGCGAGAGAATATAAATATTGCTAATTCTGTTGCAAGTTTTTGCAAAGCAAATTGCGAGAGAATATAACTATTGCTAATTCCGTCGCAACTTTTTAATAGAATAGCAAATTGCGAGAGAATATAACTATTGCTAATTCTGTTGCAAGTTTTTGCAACGTATTTTAAAAAAGAATATATATGTTGCAAGATGTGTTGCAAATAGAATAGCAAATTGCGAGATAATATAACTATTGTTAATTCCGTTGCAATTTTTACAATTTCTTTTGCTCATTTCTTGTCAATTTTGTTTTTTCAAATTTAATAAATTTAATGATTCAATTAATATATCTTCTCAAAGATACAAGAACTAGTTGAAATCATATAAAATTTTCAAATTTAAACACTATCAATATATCAAAAACACAATGTATTTAGTATGAGTACCGCAAGTACCACATACTAGAAAAATGTATAAATCTAATTCAAGTTATCATAATATCATACGAAAACAACTAAGGTCATAACTAAAACACTTGTAATGATAAAATATCATGATATCGGAGCACTACCACCATCTGAATCGGGTTCGGACCTATGAATGGATGGTGCTCCCATACGTCGTAATTGCTCCATAATGGTCAAGTTCAAATCGTATATGGCTCGTTGTTGGTTCTCCATATTTGTGACACGTTGTTGCATCACTTCCCATTGACTACGTCCCACGGCAAGATCTGTCCTCAACTCACCCAACTCACACTCCATCTTTGTCAATCGTTCCTCAAGAATAAATATGCCCGGAGTACGACCATCGCTGCAGAAGGATGATGGTCGAGGAGGAACAGTCGCACGTAATGACCCCAACCCATAAATGCAATTTTTCTTGTCACGGGGTACTACGGTGAGGAACACATTATCCGGATCATATGACGTATTTCCTTGTTGAGTTAGGTGTGCTTCAACGGCATCCACCTCTTCCTGAAAATAATTTAGATGAATACAATGTTAGATTTCCAAACTAAATCATAAATATATTTGATACAAATGAATAATAATAATAATAATAATAATAATAATAATAATAATAATAATAATAATAATAATAATAACAACAACAACAACTAACAACAACAACAATATAGTGGCAATGCATATGACTTCAACACTAAAATTTACATGCCTCAATAAATGCCCGGAATGAAGCAACCAAATCCAATTAAAGTCAATATTTCAATAGGTCTATAATTTTTAGTGCCTTATGTTAATCCTTTAATCATGAGCTCAATCAATCAATACAAAATAAAATTCCTGCTCTTGAAGTATATTAAGATCAATAAACAGTTACTTTTGGTTCAACTTAATTTACAACATCAAAGAAAAGTTAACGTAAAATATATGTCCAATTTAACTAATACCAGAAACTAAGACAAATTGCAAATTTAATTTTTATTTTTCTAAAGGTAACGTATGCATTCTACTTAGAAAGATTGTAAATTTTTAAAAAATAAATTTCAAATAAAAAAAAATGTTGTGGTAATGCACTAGGATATGACAACCATTCAAATGCAAACACAAAAGTTTGATCGAAGAGCCAAATAACATTGTTCTAATCCAATGTTCTCATAACGAAAGTAGCCTCTAGCAATCAATTTAATTATCATGTGGCAATTGGCGTTCCTCTTAATTCCACATAATACAAGCTTAATTGATACTAAAATTGTACATTTGAAACGTATGTCTTGCGAAACAAGTAAAACTGCTTGACAGCTAGAATACAGCCTTTCAAATGTATACGTGTATTAGAAAAACAGATAAAGCATCTGAAATATATTAAGTAAGAAAACAGAATTTCACAAGAATATTTACAGTGAAGGAAAAATGAAGTGAGAAGTAAAGAGTGCATACGCAATGAGTTCTCTTGTAGTAACTCTAGTCAAATCCATTCCTTCATGTGTTTTAGGTTCATTTTCATTGTAGTCTTGGACGTAAATGAAAAATTTGCGGGCACGTCTCTTTTCAAAGATTCCCATGAGAGGTGATTTTAGAGCCTCCATGTCAGTTGCAGGTACTTTGTGAATCTATAAGATTGAATTTACCATCAAACATAGACCAAATCAATGATTCGTGTGAACAAAATCATCAACAGCCATATAAAAAAATGGCACAAAGAACTAGGCCAAATGCCAAAAACAATGAAATACCTTCCCTTTGTCGAAGACAAAGCTTCCATCAACAGCTTTAAAATATAAGTATTTGGTAACATCTGTATGAATGAGGACTCGAACAAAGGTGCCATTTGCCATAATAAACTGAAATCGATAAACGATGCATTTTGAATGCATATAGTTACAAGAAAAGATATCATTTAAAGGGTAACATGAGAACACGCATAATACACACCTTAGGGATCATGTCGACATTGTAATCTCTACTGGAACCCAAATGCGCCGGAGGTTTATCACTCCCTCTGAATCTCTTCCACAGCTGAGGGTATAGCAGATATCCATAAAAAATAATAAATGACATGCGGAAGACTGCAGTTATAAGTTCTTTAACAGCAATATTTTCGGGCATTCAAGAGCCAAAGGCTATTTCAATCTAATTCAACCAAACACGTACCTGAATGAGATTGAGTGAAGTCGATTCACCACCATAATAGTCATTGCGATCCATGTGCAGAACCTATTTTCAAAGACAGGACAACAGCGTTAAGAAGTAACAAAGTTCATAAATGGATAAATGAAAAATCAACAAAACTCAACATGTAAGTATATATGAGGCAACAAATATTCATAGAGGGTTTGTTTGTTTCTGTTTCGATCTTCTTTTTACATTAAGCAATATTCATCGCATCCAACACCCATTTTCCTTTCAAAACATCACAATCAACACATTTTCCACTCAAATATCTAATCGGAAACATATTTTCCATCCAAAAATTTCAAATTCAAAGACCTACAGATACAACAACAAAGTACAGCATAAGATGGCAACAAACACACCAACAAAATTCATCATTAACATTCCTCATAAATCCAAATCTAACCACTAAAAAAGCTAAAGATTTAAATACTCTACTAAATACAGAAACAATTCACTTCCTATCAACTACAGCTGAAATGAAGCAGCGTCTTCACCTAGAATCACACGCAAATGTTTCAAAAAATCAGTCTCTGTTTCAATATGTTCAATCCAGAAAACAGTTGCCACCGAAAACTTCTTCAAAAAAACAACTAATCACTGCAGTTACCAACACCATACACGATCTCAGAAAAACATGACTTATCACTTCAACTTCAAATAACTCAGATCATTCACATAAATAATGCTTAATAACCGAGAGATATGTATTTTAATTGCTTAATAAATAATGCTGGTGTAGTAAACTAGAGGGAATGGCTCTAGGGTTCATCGAAGCCATTTGGCTAGCTTGACATATGGAATGGAAGAATATACAATATGTGCAGCAACTAGCTAACCAACTAGCTTCTCTTTAATTTAATTTGCAGAATGGAAGAATTTGAAGGACCTGCACATGCAGAATAATATAGTAATTCCCAGCAATTGCATATCTGAAGAATTAATACAAATTTGAGCTCTACTTTAGTGGAGCTATATTTGTGTGTGTAGAATCTGAAACAGGATATAGACTTTGGAAAAAGGTCTCAACAACCTTGAATAATATAACGAACCTTTAAGCATTTCCCTTTTCTCAACTAAACATAATGAAAAGATATCAATCTAGTGTAATCAATTTCTCTTAGGTTACAACACAGCTGTATGAAAATTACCTGGTTATTTGAACAATATTTATTTACTCAAAGAAAACCGTTAGTTTAAAAAATAGAATCAATCAGCTATATAACTAGCTAAAATTATTTTTGAATTACTGGCTATCTAAGTTAGAGTTCCCACAATCAAATACTCTAAGAACTATGATGTTTCCTAGAGTTCCTCGATGGAGATTAAATTGCAAGAAAGGAAAATCTACTTAACTGCAATGCTTGGCAAATCAGTTTAACTGTGAGTTACTTTCACAATCCTTACATATTTCTGCAAAATAAACAAAGATATTTTGAATGTAAAACAAACCACATCATCCAAATAAATAAATACAGAGTCATCCATACCTACCAAACAAACGTCAGGTATGCCTCTTTGAACCACACAGAAAAGGATTTCCAGCCTCAAGTCGATTTTTGTGCTACCTGGAAGGGCAACATTAGAGCATATGATCGGCGGCGGCGAGCAGAGTTCGATTATGAGAAATTAAAATGTCTGTGTGTAATTGTTGCTATTTCTCCTTCAATTCCTTTAATTTCATATCTGGAACTTGGAAAATGAGAAGTACCTGCGTTTGTTTGCATGGATAAGGAGCGTCTGTGGTTGAGAAGGTTTGAAAAAAGGAAGAAGGTTGGGGAAGAAGGTTGGGGAAGAAGATGGGAGGAAGAACGAGTGTGTCTTCTGTGGTTGAGGAGGTTTGGAAATACGAAGAAGGTTGGGGAAGAAGATGGGAGGAAGAAATTTTTTTTTTTTTTAATCTCTCACCATGGCAGGGGCAGGCAGGCGCGCAGCAGCAGAAGAAGAAAGAAGGAAAGGAGGAGAAAGGAAAGAAATGGGAGGAAGAAGGAAGGAAGAGGGAGAATCTGTGTGTGTGAGGGCGGCTGGAGTGTCCGTGGAGTGGAGATGTGAATGACTAACTATTGATGAGACGTTCGGGTTAAATTGTATATACGTTATAATATTATTATATTTATAATTAAAATTTAAAATATAACAATAATAATATTAATAAATATAAATAATTATTAATAATATTAAAAAATAATAATACTATTAGTATTTTTTATTTACATTTTATATTTTATAATTTTTTATTATATAATTTAAATTATTTTATTATTTATTACAATATTTTTATAATTTAATTATTTATTATTTTAATTATTTTTATATTGTAACAATTTAATTAATTATTTATATATATGATTTTTATATAATAAATAAATAATAAATATATCTAAATAAAATTAAAATGAAATTTAATTATTTTTAAATAAAATTCAAATTTTTAGAAAAATAGAAAATAAAAAAGAAAATTATTAAAAATGAGTATATATAAACCGATGCTTCAAATCGTAATCGGCGGCTTTTAAACCGAAATCGGCGGTTTATAAACCGTAATCGAAACTGTCAAAACGTAACCGAAACCGTCATTCAAAAGGTTGGGTTTCGGTTTGATATTTTGACAAACTGTAACCGGCGGTTTGTAATCGTAATCGACGGTTTGAACCGTTTGGGCAAGTCTAAGCTTGTTTGCGAGTGAGTAGCGTCGAGTGAGTATCGCGAGTGAGAATTATGGCAGATTTGGTAAAAAATAAAAATTAATAAAAATTAATAAAAATATATAAAAAAAAACTAAAAATTAAAAATTAAAATATTTAATAAATAAATAAAATTAATTATTAAAAATTTAAAAAATTAAATTAAAAATTTAAAAATAATAATTATTAAATTATTTATAAATTTAAAAAGTTATTTTTTTTTATTTGAACTCTGCAACAAATTTAATTTGTTGTTATTTTTGTCGCAATTTTGCAACGGAATATTATATTTGTTGCATAATTTTTAGAAAATCTGCAACAGGTTTAATCTATTGCTATTTCCATCGTAATTTTGCAACAAATTTAATATGTTGCTATTTCTGTCGCAATTTTGCAACGGAATATTATATTCCTTGTGTAATTTCAAAATATTTGTGACAAATTTATTCTATTGCAATATTCTCTCACAACAATAGCAATTGAGACTATTTCTTTGTTGCTAGCAAGTTCCGTTGCAATTTTGCAATAGATTGTATTCCGTAACAATATTCCATTGCAATTTTCAATTTTTTTGTAGTGATTTTTAAGAATTCATGACAAAAATATTTAGTCAAATTAATTTAGTATTTATAACATAAATATACAAATTCATTCCATGTAGTTAAGTATGATTTTTCAACACATATGAAGCTTACTTTTTAAAAATGAGAAATAAATATGTTAATTATTATATATAGATAATTTTATTATTTTATAATGTACGGGTGTGTTTGTTTTGTGTTTTGATATTTTTTTATGTGAGGTAGAGGAATTTATTTAGGTAATATAAAAATAAATAGTGTATGTAATATATGAATTTTTGGTGAAATGTGTTTGAAAATTTTTGTTGAAAGAACAAAGTATATTATGCAAGATGATCAATCATACCTGAGTTTCGGTCGACATCTTAAACTGAACATGGGTGGGATCAATCGTAAGCCCTAGTAGCACCACCATAATAAACCAACGATATTATTGCATCAAAAGAACATCTGGAATCGAACATTCGCCTTACCCGTATTTTTTCTTACACGAAATAAACCTAAAGATTGGATTTTCGATTCGAAATCCATTTCAGTTTTGCTATCAACCACAGAATCTAATGCTCGCGATTGATGTAGGGCTCGACTTCACTACCTTGGGTTGCCGCAAAAGTCTGATCGAAATTATTCTACGAGTCACCAAAAATGTGAGATTCATTTCGCTGGAAAAAGCGAGGTTCATTTCGTTGGAAATACAACGCTGTAAATTTATTTATCTCGCGCAGAAAAGAAACTGATGCAAGAATATGGAGTTGAAAGGAGTATTAATTTTATGCATCAAACAATTTATTTTTTTTCTTATAAAATTTTCAATGAATTCAATCAAATAAATAATTTTCAAACAAAACGAAGCAATTGAAAAAGTATACTGACATGGATTAGGATCATCTCCATAAATCAAACTCGAAGACAAGTATCTAATATGTATTCGGGTTCGGGAACTTACAATGCTGAATCAAAAATTGAAATAGATAAGTTGAATTCCAAAAAAGCAATCACTCCTCTCGAGCAAGCACTTTCGAGAACCCACGGATTGTCCGAGGCTGCCGATGTATCTTACGTCTTTCACGCAATTGCATCCGAAGCTCAACAATAGAAGTGCCCTCTCGGCGGATGGAATCACTCAAACTCTAAGGAATCTCTCCAAAGCTAGGTTAACCCTCTCTCAAAATGATCTCATCTAAGTTGTGTTCATCAAGAAAATAAACAAGGCTATATATACTAAATGACAAATTAATCTAAGCCACACATCTTAAGTGGCAAGCTAATCTAAACCACACATTAAGTGGCAAGCTAATCTAAACCACACATTTTGATTAAGATCAAAGGATCACAACCTCCAAGCAAACAAGTAGCTTCGACCGGGTTCGGATTGCAATCGGTCCGTCTAAGTTTGGGTTCGGGTGATCCGGAGCTGTGTCATCCTCTCCCCCTTCGGCTGCCTTGTCCTCAAGGCTAGTAGTAGCATTTTCGGCTGCCTTGTACTCAAGGCAAGTAGCATCTTCAGTGTGATAAAAAGGCTCAAATCGGCAACGTTGAAAGTCGCATTCACGCCCAAGTCTTCCGGAAGTGCAATCCGGTATGCGTTATCGTGTATGCGCTCCAACACATGAAATGGACCAGCTCCATGAGGAGAAAGTTTCCCACACCGCAGCTCCGGAAAGCGTTCTCTATGCAAATGTACCCATACCCAATCTCCGGGTTGAAATATCACGCGTTTTCTTCCGCGATTGGCATAGCGTGCGTATGTCGCGGCCGCCTTATCAATGTTCTCCCGTACTTTTGGCATGTAATTCCTTGATTGATGTAGCTCGATCCCTGCCACTGAAATTCAAATGCTCACTACTAGGTAGTGGCAACATATCGGTAGGAGTTAAAGGATTAAAACCATAAACAGCCTCAAACGGGGACAATTTAGTAGTAGTACTAACATGCCTATTATAAGCAAATTCAACATGTGGTAGGCATTCATCTCATGTTCGACCACTATCATGTACCATGACACGTAGAAGATTACCTAAGGTACGATTGACCGCCTCCGTTTGGCCATCAGTCTGGGGGTGACACGTGGTAGAGAAAAGTAAGCGCGTCCCAATTTCATACCAAAGACTTTTCCAAAAATAAGATACAAACTTTACATCCTTGTCAGATACAATAGTTTTTGGGACCCCATGCAATTTCACAACCTCTCGAAAGAAAAGCTTTGCCACATGACTAGCATCTGTCGTTTTCGCACAAGGTATAAAGTGAGCCATCGTGGAAAATCGATCAACCACAACAAAAATTGAATCTTTAGCACGCGGTGTGCGAGGTAAACCAAGAACAAAATCCATAGAAATATCTAACCAAGGGCCTTCCGGAGTGGGAAGAAGAGTATACATACCATGGGGCTTCAAAGTACTCTTCGCCACTCTACATGCAAGACACTTATCAACAAAAGAATCAACATGTTTACGCATATGAGGCCAGTAAAAGTGAACGCTAAGAACATCAAATGTAGCATGTCTACCAAAATGTCCAAGCATATGACTACCATGACTCTCCTCAATCAAAACATCTCTAATGCTACATCTAGGAATGCACAATTTATCACCATGAAACAAATAGCCATCATGCTTATAATAATCATCAAAACCATGCTTCTCACACTTCCTAAATATATCACCAAAATCTACATCATGCTCATACAACTCACGAATATGTGCAAATCCAACCAAATGTGTACGAGTATGATTAAGTAAAACATACCTCCGAGAGAGTGTATCAGCAACTACGTTCTCTTTCCCTTGTTTATACTTAATCACATATGGAAATTGCTCAATAAAGCTTACCCACCGAGCATGACGCTGATTGAGTTGCTGCTACCCACGCAAATGCTTGAGGATCTCATGATCCGTGTGAATCACGAACTCCTTTGGCAGCAAGTAATGTTGCCAAACTCTCAGGGCTTGCACAACCGCATATAATTCCTTGTTTATGTCGAGTAATTAAGGGTTGCTCCATTGAATTTCTCACTATAATAAGCAATCGGTTGTCCTTCTTGTAATAGTACTGCACCTATACCAACTCCACTAGCATCACATTGGACTTCAAAAGCTCGTTCAAAATCGGGTAGTGCCAAAACCGGAGCATGTGTCAAACTATCCCGAAGCTTCTCAAAGGATGCTTCGTGACTTGCCTCCCACTTAAATGGAACATTCTTCTTTAAAAGGGAGGTCAATGGGGCTGCTATCACACTAAAATATGGTACGAATCGCCTAAAGAATCCACACATTCAAAGGAACCTCCGGACATCGGCCACACTTGTACATTTTTTCCATTCCCGGATTGCAGCAACCTTAGATTCATCAACCTAAAGACCATCTGCACCTACAACAAAGCCAAGGAAAATAATTTCATTAGTGCAGAAAATGCATTTCTTTAACGTACCATACAATTTAGCATTTCTTAATGCATGAAAAACTTGCCTAATATGTCCTAGATGGTCCTCCAAACAAGTACTATAGACAAGTATGTCATCAAAGTATACCACCAAAAACTTTCCAATAAATTCTCTCAACACATGGTTCATCAACCGCATGAAAGTGTTGGGCGCGTTTGTCAACCCGAATGGCATGACTAGCCACTCGTACAACCCAAACTTAGTTTTAAAAGTTGTTTTCCACTCATCTTCGGGTTGCATACGAATTTGATGGTACCCACTCTTTAAGTCAATTTTTGTAAACACTCGTGCTCCATGCAACTCGTCAAGCATATCATCCAATCGAGGGATTGGATGTCGGTATTTCACAGTAATTGCATTGACAGCCCTGCAATCAACACACATACGCCATGAATTATCCTTTTTAGGGACAAGTAAAACAGGTACAGCACAAGGAGATAAAGATTCTCGAACCCATCCCTTATCAAGAAGCTCTTGGACTTGTCTTCGAATTTCCTCACTTTCTTTTGGATTACACCTATAAGCTGGCCTATTGGGGATTGATGAACCTGGTGCGAAATCAACACGATGTTCGATGCCTCGCAATGGTGGTAATCCAGGTGGTATATCATCTGAAAAAACATCCTCAAACTCTTTAAGCAAGTCTACAAAAGGAGAAGACGAGTGAGAAAAAGAATTATCGTCAATAACAAGTACTTCTTTGAGTAAGAGAATATAAAAGTAACTTCCCTCATCTTGGTTACTGTTTTGGCGAACTTCTTTGTTGAACTCTTTGAGACTAAGCATCAGCTTGCTATCGTCTCCCTCGGAAGGTTTCGCCGAAACGGTAACAACAGCCCCTTTTGATTTTACCACATCTCGCATAGTCCTATGTAAATGTTCAGCATCACGACGGACGGTCTCGAGTGGAAGGGCGGAAATGCTAAGCTTCTTGCGACCTTTAGTGAACGATATTTGATTCTTACATCCATCGTACAAAACACGTCTATCAAATTGCCATGGTCGTCCCAAAAGGAGGTGGCATGCAGTCATGGGGACACACATCACAAAGGACATCATCGCTGAAACAACAAATCGAAAAGGTAACAATAGCTCGTCTATCGACACGGACAGCTCCTTCATCGCTCATCCAATGTAGGTTATATGGTTTCGGGTGTGGGGTGGTATTCAAACTCAGCTTCTCAACCACATAGGAACTAATAACATTGGTGCAACTACCCGAATCCACTATCATGGATATAGTATGTCCCGCTACCTTGCAATGACAATGGAATAGATTTTCTCGCTGTCCCGCATCCTTATCTTCGCGCGGTAAAGATGTCAAGGCACGCATGACTACTAAACTTAATGGATCCTCATCGCACACTTCTTCAACGTCTTCATCACTTACAGCCTCTGCTTCAGCCTCTACTACCTCATCGCCCTCACCATCATCGACATATCCCCATTCGCCATTCTCCAAAATCATAACGGTTCGTTTATTTGGGCATTGACCTGCATAGTGCCCTTGTCCATGACACTTATAGCACGTTACAATCTTTTCTTTTTGCTGTCCAAAGTCCTTTCCTTTGAACTTCGCAGCCTCATCCTTCTTATCAGTTACTTTATATTTGCCTTTATCCAAATTTTTATCGAAGGGCTTAGCGAAAACAATTCCCTTAGATCCAGTAGAAGATACAACCAGAGCTATAGAACTGGTTGAAAACTTCCTTTGAGATGAGAATCCAGTTGAGGTTGGTCTCTTGAGCTGCTCCTCGCGTTTGATAGCCAAATCCACAGCTTCCCGAAGAGAACAAAAATGGTGCAGCTCAACCGTATCAGCTATCTCACGCCTCAAACCCTTAATGAACCGAGCTTCTGTCAATGACTCGCTCTCATCAATATCCAATCGCATCATCAAAATCTCCAATTCCTTAAAATAT